TTACTTGTCACATGCTGTATCTCCCCTAAGAAAGCCCAGCCAGCCCCCAGGGAAGGCATGCACAATAAAACAAGGCCTAGACATGATTTTTTTGGGGGGGAGGATTAGCCAGGAAACAGCAAGGCTCCCTTACACCAGTCCGGAGCTGGACGACGGTGCTCACGTGCTTCAGCAGCAGACACCTGGTTAAGACTAAGAGAGGAGAAAACAGGACCGTGCTGGGGATGCTGCTGAGTGTCAGGAGCAACAGTCACCTCCTGAGCAGGAGAGAGGTTAATAGGGAGACACAGAAGAAAAGGCAGCAGCAAAGCAAGGGAGCAGGCACAGTGCATTCGTGAGCTTCATGAGCTGCTCAGATGTCTTCCACCAGCTCTGTGGGTTTCTATGGTTTACGTGGTAGAAAGTACAAAGACGTATTGCTGCTCCAGTGCTCCTTAACCAGGAGGTTGTAAACAAGCGTGTGGGGTGATAGGATATGGGAAGGTTTTGAGAGGATGGTTAATGTGCTCTGGGGAGACGGATAGTAACAATCATGCCAATTCAGGTTAGGAAATAACATCCTTTAGGTTCAGCCTCCCTCCTTTACAGTCAGGTTTATTTTGTATCCAGCAGCTACTGGGCTTGATCCTCTGTTCCTTCCCAGGCTGATGCAAGAGGGGCTGCAATGGGTATCGGCACATCAGCATTCATTTTGGTAGGAATTCCGAGTGCTTCAGTGCAAAGTCTCTGGTTGCTACAGCTCCGCATGGAAAAGGTTCCCAAATATGATACGCTCAATGGAAGAAAAAGGGGCTGACAAGTGACATCAACCCCCATGTACTGTTCATGATACAGGAACCGACTGCAGAAAACAGGAGAGCTACGGGGTAAGAACCTGAAGTCTTCACTGGGAGCCATCACATTGCAAAAGAGAGACAAGCTTGCCCATCTAAAGTGTGTTTCAAACCCGCACGTGGCACTGCTCACCTAACATCCAGCACAAGGTGAGAAAAACCAAGCTGACCCGAGGGAATGCCGTTTGCTTGGAGGATGGCATTTTACAAGGAAAGCCTTACCCCAACCAGCTAGAAGAGTCCCCGGAGAACCGTGCAGGGAAAGTCAAACTTTCTTTCTGCCTGAGACATAACGACTGCCAATCCCACCCCTGGGAAAAAACTTCCTTCAGCCCACATTTGTGCACGTGCTTCAGCTCCTGCCCAGATTAGGGAAGAAATCAAAGATGGCCTGTGAGCAGATGCACCTGCGCTCCAGGAGGAGACTTCGGTTTCACGCATTAAACTCGCTTCCCGGTGCCTGCAAGTGTCATTACCCCGGCCAAGAAGGAAACGTACACGTGTTTAGGCCCCAAAACATTAAAGATACCATCAATCACCGATTTCCACTTGCTTGTATAGATCCCCACTTAATGACCTTTCCATGTTTTCCTCTCCCATGCCTGTTACTTACATATCAGTAACCCAGACAGACAAGGGACTCGAGGGGCGGCATCTCTTCTACAGAGGGCTCTCCCTAAAATAACGGGAGAGTTATTACTCTCCAGATAAAACCGAGAAGCAGTACAGAGATAACAGTAACAAAGATGTTTCGTGAGCACGGTTTTCTTTTATATCCAACCTGTCCCATAATTCAGAATATATATTACAAATTAGCAGGAACAGAGCAAAGCTCAGAGTCAGACTCCCATTTTAAAAGGAAAGCAGGATGCAAACTTCGTGATTGTATAATTTGATAAGAACATTATCTGTGTTTCCCTACACTTGGTGTCATGGACTGTCGATTCTTTCTATAATCAGCATCACGACTAAGAAGAAGCATTTCAGAAGCTGAGAAGCATAAAGACCACAGGAGTCAGCCTCCATCCATCGGGGACGAAGGAGCTATGCTGACATTTGCTGAAAATGTCATTGGTGATAAATGGCCCAAATAATACATTCACAATGAGGTTCCTGAAAAAAACAAACGAAAAAACCCACCTCAAAAACCCAACCCACACACACACACACACACAACCATGCCCCCCCAAGCCCTGCAGTCAAAGCAAAGTCCAACTTGCATTTAAGGTAACTTGCATCTTGGACTTCACCAGGTCAGAGGATTAACAGGTCACCTCATGGATCTAATCCAGCAAGACAGGGAAGACTCTCAGCTCCTCTTGAATCACTGCACAGGAGTCCTGCAGAGACTGGTACCCCTCGGGTCACCCACACGGGTCCCCATGGCTGTCGTTAAAGGCCAGCCAGTGCTGTGTTACCACACTCACAAACCTTTAACAACTTAGACCTTTGCTGCCCTCAAAAATATAATGAAGAAACCACGCGGGCCAGCTACTAAAGTGCTTATCATTCTGTGCTTAAAGGAGAGGACAGGAAATTTAATTTGTAATAAAACATGGATGGATATTTCTGGCAGGTTAGCAGCCTTCAACTGTGTTCCCTAAACAGTTGCTTAAAATACTTGAAAACTACTGTAAAAACCATGCCTCAATAGTGGCTGGTGTGTTAAGTTTTAAGCGCTGCTTTAAACTTGTAGAAATTCTTCCTCAGGTGGAGAGCAGCTGCCCTCGGGACTGTGACTTCCCCACACCCATCCCACGGCTCGGGGACACGCGGCTTCAGCCGGCTCGAGGGTAGATGTGACTGGGACCTTCTCCAGCCAACTTTGAAAGATCTCAGTTTTAACCAAATCAACGTGATGTCCAAACGAGAAATGGGAAAACATCAAGAACAACAGACGCTTTCTTATGAAAATTTAATATCAAAACCACCCTTAATTTCTCATCCAAAAAAGTTTCAACAGAACAGTTCTCACTAGACCAACAACATACCCTTCATACCTGTTGGATCAACTGCATGGAGACCCACATTTCATCATCTACAATGTTCACGTGGACTGCAAATTATTGTCCCCAAGGAGCTCTGCACAGAGCCAGCAGCAAGTCAACAGGCCATCTCGTGCAGAAGTGACACTGAGCAGTAAGTACTGTCACAGACCCAGCCCTGATGCTATGAAGACAGTGCCTCTGTGCAGCAGGAGCCTGCTGCAGTGCCAGCCCTGAAGCCCCCCGACTGCTTCTCCAGGCTATGGACTCTGACGCTGCAACAGAGCCCACGCACAGATGTACAAACTGTCTGTTGGTTTAAGGCAGGCCATTTTTAAGGATTATCTTCCATTTTTCTCTCCCAAAGCCATACACTGCACTTTGCTTGGCCACCACACTTCCCTTCCAACATCATTTTCCCATGAACAGCACCAAGTTCCGCAGACGCTCCCATTTCGATTCCTTTCCTATCAGCAGTTTTGCTAAGAACCATTTCAGCTTTTTTTCTAATAGCAATTTCCCAGCTGTCCCAGGAAAAGACTCCACGAAACAGATCACAAGAGCCTAAATAATTTTTCATTTACCTACCTACCCACAGCAGCTTGTTTGCCATGGGTGTCCTGACATTGTGCGTTCAGCCCAGCACGGAGATCTTCCCATTAGCTCCATCTCCCGCTCTCATCCTGGGGAGGGTCAAACAAGACCCTCTCTCTACAAGAGTCAGGCTTCCTAAAAGACTGGATTTCTATCATTTAAAGTAAAGTTGCAATTACGGATGCATCCAGTAGCCTCCATCCCAGAGTATGGCAGGAGCAGTACGGTAGGATGCTAGAACAGTACCGTTCACCTGAACTCCAACCGAAAGCCTTATGGCATTTTAAAAGCATTACAAAGGTGACTTTGTCCCGTAAACCCTGACTAAATATTTTCAGCCAGCAGTTGCATTAAAATCTATGGGATTATCTACACATGCAGATACTGTACAGTGTCATAGAAAGCTGTGCTGGAGCGGACCTTCAGGAGTCATTTTATCCATCTGTATTGCCCCGCAGCAGGACCAGATCTATTTGATTAATAATGAGCAAGAATTGCAGCTTTAGGAAGCTGAGCAAAATTTGGCAATGCCACACAATAGCTATGGCAAAGGAATGAATGCAACATCTAAGAGTGGGTTTTGAAATACCACTTGCACGACACACATGAAAAAGCAAAATTTTCTGCTCTTTCAAGCTGAATTTGCTGAACCGTTGTGGGCTGGGAAGCCGCCCTTTGGTGCAACAAGCATACAGCACACGCTTTTCAAGAATATCTACCACAGTAACACGTTCTCCATGATCAAAGTTGACTTTGATCTGAAGACCTGAAAACAGGTAACGCTAAGGTTAACACAAAAAAAGTTTGTCTTTTATTTATTTTATTTATTTTTTAAGAGCAGGAGGATATTTAAGAGCTTATTTAGCTCGACTACAGGTTCAAGCACTTCAAGAGCTGGGGTGAGAGGAGGATTTCAGAGCAAATGGACACAGGAATGTCCTACCTGCCTGCAATCTCTTTCTACGGTGATGATCCTTAGCTTAAAGTTTTGGGATATTTTGAAATGTCCGAAACGTGGATCCAGATGACAGGGTAACGCCCCTGCCACACCTTTATTTTAACAAAGATGTGTCAGTTCCTGATGGATTCTTTTACAAGCTACTTGGGAATTTCCACTGGCACTGGGACAGTAATGCAGCAATTGTTCTCTTTGAAAACACGAAGCAGAGAATGACATTTCAGTAAAGCACACACAAAGAAAATAACTTAGGGTAAAGCTCCTGGTTCTTGGGAATTACCCACTGGATTCCCAACCGTCTTATCAAAAAGCCACAATGCCCAAGTCTCAAACTTCACTTTTATTCCTTTTCAAGAGCCAATCACAAGAGCAGCACCAACACATCAACCCAGATAGTCTTACTCCTGTGTTTGTCCTCCTTAAAATAAACACTAATAATAAGTTGAAAGATTCTGCGAACCGGAGCATGAAGCATTTCCTGCTACATGCTCCTTCCTTGTAACCAGAAAAATTCCTACACCGGAGGACTCCAATGTGTGTCCCCCCCCGTCCAGGGGCAGGTTTTCTGCTAGGATGAGATCCTCCTTTTGCTGTCACCTCAAAAAGACAAGAACGTGAAGTCCCACTTACCGCTCCAAGCATGATCCTGAAAATCAGCCACCGAAATCCCCAGATGACGATGCTGGAAGGAGGCGTGTGCTGGGGCAGGCGGGAGAGGGTCCAGAGAGGGCAGAGGAATATCCCCAGGAACCCTGTTTCCAGGAGCTGCGATTCCCATCCTGTAGTGCCAACATGTGAGAAATGAAAAAGAAAAGAGTTATTGTACAAGTCCTGTAAGTTATCCTTTCACAAATTTTAAACACCCAAGAAGAAAAACAAAACAAAAACAAAACTGTAATGCTTTCTGAATTTAACTTGGGGGAACGTCAGTACCAACTCCTAACACACACATCACACGCTGGGAATTCAGATGCTTTAAGCTACAGTGTGAATGATGTGGATCTACGTTCGGTGCATTGGGTTGTGCTGTTCTTCTCCAAGAGCACACACGGACACTTTTGTTGTTTACATGGTTATTTTATGCAGCGTGAAGCAAGAGAAAAGAATAAGAACTTTTATAAAGCAAAGGAAAATGCGATTTAAGCGCCCTGGGAATTGGCATGGTGGCCCAGGCACACAACTGATCAGTGCCGCTACTGATTCCTGCAGACCAGGGACTGCCTGAGCCATTGCCACCAGTCCCACTGTCTTTACTGGATTTGTGCCGAAATGGGGCAGTCTCAATCTTCAAAAGATGATGATTAAAATCACATTGTCTTGCTCATCATCAACATTAACGTGCAACTGGAAGCTTTGAATCTTTAATCGTAAAGAAAAATCATAATGAAAAAAGTCCAAAGCGTCCATCAAGCCAGTTTTACACATCGCTGGATTTGGCAAAATTACTCTAGATTGAATACCAGCGGAGCTGAGATCAAAGCACGGCCTTGTAACCACAGAATGAACCTGTTACCTGCTTTGAAGAAGACAGACTATAACCTACTTCAGGCAAATCTGCATTTTGCATTTTCTTTTTCCAGTATGACATAGAGTATAAATATTGAAATGATTATTCAGGAAGAGCCAGAGCACAGCAGCTCTGTTTTGACAGGTGAAGTCCAACCTCCACTACATTTTTAAGTAACAATATACTGATGCCAAAACCAAATTACTCCAACTTACTACCTCCAATTACACACTCTTATTTTCAAATATTTCTGCGCAATACAATTGCACACTGAAGCCATTTAAAAAAAAGACACTAAATGGCACACTAGTGGGGACAATTCCTGAAAACTCAGCAACCTCGTTGGCGCCATTTAAGATGCTGGTATTCCCACCTACATGTCCACATAAATTAAACCAGATAGTGCCTGTGGGTCACCTGTAGCCATGTTCCTTCCCAAGAGTCCCCCAGGCACTTTCCTAGTTTTCAAATGGCAGCAACAAAGTTTGGTCCATAACACCTCCTTTCACCCAGCCCAAACAGGCAGGGAAACACCTATCAAAGGCATTAATTTCTTCCAGCTCCAGTCTGAGAGACCTGATTGCACACCAGGTCGAGATTTTTAAAACCCATGATTTGACATTGTCACACAAGCAAAACTACGTTGAATTTGCTTTAAAATATTCGAAGTAGCAGCCATGCAATCTCCTCCTTTTTCTTAATATGCACAAGGTCCTTTAAATCAAAATGTAACGTGCTTTGGTTTTTTTCCAAAAATATTATACGTCAAACAGCTATTAAAAAAATCCCCATTCTCCCTCCATACATCCTGTTGTTTCTAGAACAGATACCCCAACTGCCAAAATTAGCGCTTCTGAGAGGAGAAGCAAAGTATATTGTTATAAAAGCAGCTGCACCAGGAAAGCAATGGCTAATACAAAATGTGAAAGGTTAATTGTCGCTAAACCCAGCCACAAATAGCAGTTATGGGTCTAACTGGCACCAAAATGGTAGTATATCTCCTTCGTTTCTGCCTGCACAAGAATCCCACTGTTATCAGCGTTTTCATATGTTAATCACTGTGTTCCCCTGCAGACATATAGGATGCACGCTGGATGGCTGAGCAGGAAGGCGTACGCCTCTACATCTCCAAACAGCCTTTAGATCCCTACTATGCATTCCCCTTCGAGAGCAGCATCGCCTCTCACCAAGCAGGACACAGTGGCTTTTTTTTTTTTTAAATTTTATCTTTAAACCAAACTCCTAGGGAGGTGTTTGCGTGCGTGGACGGAAGGGGCACGAAAGGATCGTGCGATCCCACATGACACATTTCTTGCGCGTTAAATGGGTTATACGAGCACGCATCCAGCGCGCAGGGACGCGTGCATGAGCACGCGTGTGTCCAAAGCAAAGCCGAAGCCTTCCCGGTATGTGCTGGCCTCCAAGGATCATGAGTTCAGCCTGCACCTGTGCTGCTTGTTCCAAAGCGACAAGTTTGAATCCTGGCACCACCACCACCCGGCTGCGAGTCCAACAGCATAATCCGATGCAAACCGTGCCAGCGAGGGGGACAGCTCAGTGCCGCGGTGGGAGGGGAGGACCGGAGCAAACAGTGCTGCCAGCTGTTGGGAGAAACCTCTTAAATTACCCGCTGCTGACAAGGGGGGCTGGCAGCGGGTGCAGCTAAGCCGGCACCAAACAGGGTTTAACTGCAAGTGCAGCCAAGGACAAACTACGGTCACAGCACCGTTTCAGAAGTCTCCGTCTAAACCTCCTCAGCTTGCGGCTAAATCCTGTCCAGCTCTGGTTGCTTTGCACCCATCGATGGCAACGGGCAGATTTGCTGGCACAGATGAAGTGCTGTGCTGTACTTTGCTCTGATACTGACCTTCATATCAGATCACGGCAAGTTCCTGCTAAAAAACAAGTTTAAGATGCAGATATGCACGGAGAGCCTCTGATTTATTAACAACCCTCTTCCTGATGGACTGAGTCTCCACAGCTGGTAATGCGGTCATGCAGATCAATTTTCCGTACTAGCACACATCACCCAAACAGTCACATACCCTGCCCTCGGCAGCAGAAGCTCCTTCTCCAGCCTCCATCCATCTTCTTTCCAACCCCAAGCAGCTCCTCGCCCTGGACCCCTCCTGCTCCCAACCCACTGCCAAAGCTGTCACCGCTTTCCCCTTCCCCATTTAGCGTGGATTTCATCCTGACCGTAACTTGTTAGTCCTCTTACAGGCTTCATCATGCGCAAACAATTAAGCCTTGATGCTTGATCCTACTCCATAAGCAATGCGAGCGCTTGTGATGGTAGGATTATCAGAGATGCTACATGTGTCATGTTTTCCACTAAAAATTACTGCTAAATCATTAAGACATTCAAGGACGTGAACACGTTGTTGAACATCACAACTGTATCCACAGTACAGCATGAAAGGGGGAGCTCTGCTCCATCTCACATTCACTATATTGTAAGTTGATATTAGAAAGCAAGGTTACAAGATCCATCAACAGAAACCTTGCATTTCCAACTGCTGACTTACAAACAGTTGTTCACGGCTACCCCTTAAAAGCCTCAGACTCAAAATCCCTTGCAATCTTAGACAGGTTTGAGGCCGTAACCATGTGTCTGCTGAACACTGCTGAAGTTTGAGCATTGCCACCTTTTAGCACCACTTCCGAGGCTCACAAAGCCCAAACACACCGTGACATCGACAAGGAATCAACCAAGTCATCATACCTTGGCAGGGAAGACTTGAGGAACGACCAGTACTTAGCTGACCCGTGCAGTTAAGTAATAACAGTATTTTTCTCCCTATCCTTATCCTCCTCTTCTTGCTGCCAAGTGGGCAGTGTTGATGAGATGTATGTGCTGCTGTGGCAGCGCCAGGCAAAGGAGCCCAACACAACCGCATCCTCCATCTCCACCAAACATACTGGGAACCACGTACCCAACCCTCCTCCAAGCTGCAGAAATTCCCATCCTCGACACTTTTTAGGACAGTTCTAGCACAGAAAAAACATGGAGGTGAAGGAAGTCATCTCCATGACCTGGGGGGACCTAGAGGGGGAATCAAACGATCCCCCGCTTTGGGGCTGTGGGAGGGGAGGGCAGGCGCTGGGCATCGGGAGCTTTAGGAGCATCCGCGTGGCAGCCACGGAGCATCACACAAACCGAGAAACTAGTGGCAATATGGGAATCAAAGCACCGGTAATGGAGCAAAGATCTCTCGCTTGTAGCGGTGCCAGTTTATCACGTACAGCGACATTTCCCAATCCTAGCATTTTTGGAGTGAAACCCATTTTATAAACGGTAGCAAACCCCACGATACTTAGAGGCATCGGGGCTATCTCAGAAAGGCAGCTCCCATCCTCAAAGCGCCAACCAACACATCCTTATTGCCTGGGCTAAATCTCGGGGCTCACCTCCGCCCCGGTCCCTCCGGCCCCGGCGCACACTGATACTGCTGGGAACGAAAGGGTCACGTTGTTGACCCACCTGCTCCTGTTTTCTTCAGTTGGATCTAGTCAAATTTCAGCAGCTGCAGAGCCGCACAAAGCGCCCCATTGTTATCTCCCGCGCAGCCGGAGAGGGAGCCACGGGGGTTTTTTTTTTTTGGGGGGGGGGGGGAGTTGA